CACGCATTTCACTCCATCAGGAGCTTGGTTAGCACTTCCGCCTGGCAGTACCGGGTTCGTCGGTTCAAATCCCAACCACGGCACCACCTGCCTGGAGTTTGCATGTTCTCCCTGTGCCTGCTTGGTTTTCCTCCGGGTACTCCCGTTTCCTCCCACACTCCAAAGATATACTGGGATGTTAATTGGCTTCGGTTTAAAATTGTCCCTAATATGTGTATGTATGAATGTGAGTTAGGGACCTTAGATTGTACGCTCCTCGGGGGAGGGGACTGATAGGAATGTACAATAATAAATATATATGTAAATAGGACTTGGGCTTGGAATTTAAAGTAATCAAATCAGGGGCGGACTGACCATTCGAGCTCTCGGGCACTGCCCGAGGGCCCGGGGTCAGTAGGGGGCCCCATGAGATGCCCCTGGTACCTTTTTTAGGCTTTATTGGGTGTGGGCAAGGACACAGGGGCCCCATGATCCCCTATTGCCCGTGGGCCCCATGAGTTGTCAGTCCACCCCTGCATCAAATAGATAAAAGCAGCTTGCACATCAAGCAGGCCAAAACGTAAATAACAAACCAATTGCACGCTATCTATACATGCATCTCAATGGCATTGCAAAAAAGGTTCATATAAAAACGCATATAAGGTTCATATAAAACGCACAGAAGTGGCAGCAAAGTCCATATAGAATTCACATATGCAGGTAGAGGTTGGGGCATGAAGAAAAAATCCCAATCCAGAGAGAAGACCATCACCTTCCACCCAAAGAATGGGCCTCTTACCAGAAGGTTTGACCACCTGAAGGATCGGCCAAAATACGCAGTATAATATATCCGACTGATACAGCCCCGGGTCTTCAATACAGACCTCTCCCGGTATCATCACAAATGCTTCTCCAAGTTATAGATGTTCTGAGTAGCAAACTCTAAGCAGGGAAGAGTCCTCTGTCCAACGTCCATGTATAGGCCTCAGCACCCCAACTGGGTACTCCAAAAAAGGTGGCCAAGTGTCCCTGAAGAAGGCTACATCTGGCAGCACGGCTTCCTGTTAGTTCAAACTACCACTGAATAACCCCCCCCCCCCCCCCACACACACACTTTCAGTACTTCAGTGAGACACAACTGACAATAGTTCATTGTTCCATCAAACGTTAGGCCAGCGCAGCACATGACCTCCTATGTACGTGGATAGAAGATCTGATAGACCATGGATAAAAGATACCATAGAAGGCCTGGAGATCCATCAGCTTGGAAGAAGATAAAAGCAGACAGAGGTGCCAGTGTACACAAATCTGGAGAATTTTACACAACTTCAAAGACATACCTTTACCCTCCAGGAACAGGTCCAAGAATTCAGAGAAGGTGTTATGATCTGGGAGGAACTTGGCCATCTTGTGGAAATAGTAGAAGGAAACCGCCACATCCTTTGGATTCCTGGCAAGGTAGATCACCTGAAAAAAACACAGAGGCTTCTCACTAAAAGGGCGGTTCTCATTTGCTTCCTATAGTTACATATATCATTAAAAAAGGTTTTATCTGATAAAAAATGCAAAACGAAAAAGTCTTTCTGCCAGAAGCGGATGACATCCTGTGCTCTCTGCCCCTGCTGACTGCAAGCATTATGTATAGAAGAACAGAGAAAGGGCGCACCGGCCTAGTGCCTTATAGTTATATACCATTTATTTATAAAAAAAGGAATAAAAGGTGAATATACTCAAACAAATGTGAAGGACATGCTCATAGCAGAATTTCAAGGGGAGATCCCTCTTAAATCAGGGCTCTGATGAAGAGGGGTCTCCCCTTGAAACGTGTAAGCAAACATCTGCAGACCCGTGTGTTCTCTTCTGGACCCGTGTGTTCTCTTCCGGACCCGTGTGTTCTCTTCCGGACCCGTGTGTTCTCTTCCGGACCCGTGTGTTCTCTTCCGGACCCGTGTGTTCTCTTCCTGGCATACAAGAAGTGTGTGATCGGTGGCTCTGGTGGTCCTTTGATTGGATATGGTTGATTAAGTCCTTCACATTGGTTTGTGGGAATATTCACCTGTTCTCCTTTGATAAATAAATTGTGTATAGAGGAATAGAGAAAGGGTGCACCAGCCTCGTGCATTCTCTATATATACCATCTATTTTATATAGACAGGCATAAGAGATTAACCCTTTCTCCCACAATCAGAGCTCTGATGCTTCTCTATATAGTTTCAAGGGGAGACCCTCTTCATCAGAGCTCTGATGCTTCCTATTCAGTTTCAAGGGGAGATCCCTCTTAATCAGAGCTCTGATGCTTCCTATTCAGTTTCAAGGGGAGATCCCTCTTCATCAGAGCTCTGATGCTTCCTATTCAGTTTCAAGGGGAGATCCCTCTTATCAGAATGCTGATGCTTCCTATTCAGTTTCAAGGGAAGATCCCTCTTATATATCAGAGCTCTGATGCTTCCTTTTCAGTTTCAAGGGGAGACCCTCTTCATCAGAGCTCTGATGCTTCCTATTCAGTTTCAAGGGGAGACCCTCTTCATCAGAACTTTGATGCTTCTTATATAGTTTCAAGGGGAGATCCCTCTTAATCAGAGCTCTGATGAAGACGTGAAATGTGTAAGCAAACATCTGCAGACCCGTGTGTTCTCTTCCGGACCCGCGTCTTCTCTTCCTGGCATACAAGAAGTGTGTGATCGGTGGCTCTGGTGGTCCTTTGTTTGGATATGGTTGAGCAAGTCCTTCACATTGGTTTGTGGGAATATTCACCTGTTCTCCTTTGATAAATAGATGGTATATAAAGAGAATGCACTAGTCTGCTGCACCCTCTCTATACACAGTGTAAAGCCTGAAAGGACAGTAAACTGGCTTTACTTAGAAGGTTTGGAGACCCCTGGACTACACACTCATTGGTTTATTTCTTAATAAAGATTTGATGGGAATGCACCAGGCCTTTGTGTCCTTTTGGTTTCGTTTGGTTTGTGCACCAGTTACCACGCCTGGAGGCTTCCCAGCTTATTAAAGAAACTTTTGTGCCTACAGGTCCCAGTTTGTCACTTTTGTATAGAGAAGGCAGCAAAGTGTTGTCATCGGAGAGGGACTCTTAGATCCTGAGAATCTGATTAGAGTTCTACAGATGTGACCAGGAAGACCAATGCATCATCTATGGTTGACTATTGGTCGACTTACTTTAGCTTTGGAGTTCTGCAGTGCCGGTACCAGGACGTCACTAGGGAGATGTGTGGTGATGATTCTGGGGCCCTCTCCTTCCTTTAGGGTATCCTTGAAGTAAGTATGTTCCAGCCAAGGGGCCCGCTCCCAGTTGGGGACAGTCATAGCAATCTCTGTATCGCCTTGGCTGTAGATTAGCGTCAAGATCTCTTGCATCCATGTTGTGCCTAAAATATAGTACAAATTCTTAGGCAAGTTAAAAAAAAAAAAAAAAAAAAATAAAAAACTTTAGTAAAATCAGTCCTATGCCATTGTAATATGTCAGGAATAATAAAGTTAAAGGATATGTACCGCCATTTTCCAAATTTACCCGCAAACCCCTCCTCCGCTCTACAGCATGGGAAAAGAGAAGACCTACTGTAAAGAAAATGTTTGACCCTCGGTTCACACCTGTGTGGGTGGTGCCGCTGTGGGACCCGCACAAATACCTGCAGACGCACCACCCACACAGAGGAATGAGGGACCCGCAGGCGGGTACCATTAATTCTAATGGCACGCAGCCCGCACTGGAAATCACAACCGTATTGGGAACCTGCGGGCTGCGATTTCCCAAGTAGTAGTGCAGGGAGTTATTCTCTGCGTGTCCCGGGGCACGGGAGTCCATTCCAATGAATGGGCTCTCGTGCCCGCACAAATCGTGGCCCGCACAAATGTGATCCAGGGGTTAAGTGGACAGGGGCGGACTGACAACTCATGGGGCCCCTGGGCAATAGGGGATCATGGGGCCCCTGTGTCCTTGCCCAAACTCAAAAAAGCCTATGAAAACGGTACCAGGGGCATCTCATGGGGCCCCTGGGCAATAGGGGATCATGGGGCCCCTGTGTCCTTGCCCAAACTCAAAAAAGCCTATGAAAACGGTACCAGGGGCATCTCATGGGGCCCCCTACTGACCCCGGGCCCTCAGGCAGTACCCGAGTTTCCAAATGGTCAGTCCACCCCTGTAAGTGGAACTAATCTCAGTCCCCTTAGCTCGCTGGCACCATCTACTTTGCCCAACCTTTTCTGGGTCTGGGGCCTCCGACCATCTTGATTGGCCGGGTCAGAATCACGCAACTCCACACATGTGCACCGGAGTTGATTTATTCCGATACCAAGGAATGCGGAAATAGAGACGTTGGTTTTATTTCAGAAGAATCACAGAATGTATCTGCTGGAATGCCAGGCCGGCCTGTTGGCAAAGCTTCATCAAGGCGTTTCCAACAAGTCTTTCCAGTACAAGAATTCAAATATCAAATACAATCTACAGTCACCTGAGGTCATAAACAAGAGAAGGCGTAGCCATGGTTGTTCAGTAGGTGTGGCACAGAGGACTTTACAAGGGTCTTGGGTACAACTGATGTTAATAGGGGGTAGGCTTCTCCCCAAAATCTACTGGTGATATAAGAGCTGAAACTCATGGATGAATGCTTATGACAAAGTGGTGCTGAGAGGTTTTTGGGGGCTCCGGCCCAACAATGAAGCTCGCGTTTTTTTTGTTTTAATAGGATGTTGAAGGGTTAGAGCAGGGCTTGTCAACCAGGGTTCCTTCAGAGGTTGTTGGGGTTCCATGAGCAATTCCTTCCTCTCAGGTGAGTTCCCACTGACACCATTGATCTTCTTAGCTATCTGTAAGGTGGCGGGTGGTTCTTCCCACTGACCCCCCCCAATGTAAGGGACATTCTTCCCACTGACCCCCCCAAAGTGAGGAACATTCTTCCCACTGACCACTAATGTAAGGGACATTCTTCCCACTGACCCCCAATGTAAGGGGCATTCTTCCCACTGACCCCCAATGTAAGGGGCATTCTTCCCACTGACCACCAATGTAAGGGACATTCTTCCCACTGACCCCCAATGTAAGGGACATTCTTCCCACTGACCCCCCAATGTAAGGGACATTCTTCCCACTGACCCCCCAATGTAAGGGACATTCTTCCCACTGACCCCCAATGTAAGGGACATTCTTCCCACTGACCTCCAATGTAAGGGACATTCTTCCCACTGACCCCCAATGTAAGGGACATTCTTCCCACTGACCTCCAATGTAAGGGACATTCTTCCCACTGACCCCCAATGTAAGGGACATTCTTCCCCACTGTACCTTCCCCACTGATGTAAGGGACATTCTTCCCACTGACCCCAATGTAAGGGACATTCTTCCCACTGACCCCCAATGTAAGGGACATTCTTCCCACTGACCCCAATGTAAGGGACATTCTTCCCACTGACCCCCAATGTAAGGGACATTCTTCCCACTGACCCCCAATGTAAGGGACATTCTTCCCACTGACCCCCACAAATGTAAGGGACATTCTTCCCACTGACCCCCAATGTAAGGGACATTCTTTCCACTGACCCCCAATTCCCACTGACCACCAATGTAAGGGACATTCTTCCCACTGACCCCCAATGTAAGGGACATTCTTCCCACTGACCCCCAATGTAAGGGACATTCTTCCCACTGACCCCCAATGTAAGGGACATTCTTCCCACTGATCACCAATGTAAGGAGCATTCCCCACTGACCCCCAATGTAAGGGACATTCTTCCCACTGATCCCCAATGTAAGGGACATTCTTCCCACTGACCCCCAATGTGAGGAGCATTCTTCCCACTGACCCCCAATGTAAGGGACATTCTTCCCACTGACCCCCAATGTAAGGGACATTCTTCCCACTGACCCCCCAATGTAAGGGACGTTCTTCCCAAATGACCCCCAATGTAAGGGACATTCCTCCCACCGACCCCCAATGTAAGGGACATTCCTCCCACCGACCTCCAATGTAAGGAACATTCTTCCCACTATCCTTCACACTAATGTATCAGGAGCTGTAGATCGTTAGCAGGGGTTCCCTTTGCGTTGAAAAGGCTGGGTTAGACCCTCTGTCTAGTTTTTTTTATTACTCTCTGTTCACAGTGGTCATTAGTATAAATGGTAAATCTTCCTAATGTCACACTGGAAACAAAAGGAAATCCAGAATTTCAGAGCTGTCCCTGGAACAAGAGGTAATGGGAAATCTTCCAATGGGGCGTCTCTTCTGGGGACAACTGCCAAGTGGGAATTTCCCTCACTGCAGGAGATTCCTTTTAGCTTCCCATGGCGTGTCTGGAACAGAAATTGAAGGAAAATCCCCTAATTACGCCGAGACCGCAAAAAAATAACCTGGAAGGGGGTTTAACTCTGGATCCTAACTCTATCCAACACTAAAAAAAAAGGTTTTGGCTACACATACAGTTATCAGAAGAGTGTAATGTTTGGGGCCACACAGCCTGATGAAGGGATCCTGCGTGGCCCCGAAACGCTGCACCCTTCGGCCATGGTGTGATCACTTGGAATAAAGATTTCTGGATGTTACATATTGTGTTGGTGAATATGTACTGAACATTGACCAACCTGCCCGAGGTTCAAGCAATGACGCTGAAGCTTCTGTCGAAACGATGCCACCGGAACCTCGGGTTACATAACTCAAAGCAGACATTTGCTTCTTCCTGCAAGTCTACCTGCCTGGCTCCCTCCCCCCCCCCCCCCCCCGAAGCATTGTGAAATGCCCCCCTTCCCTTTAATTTGTGGTTTGCTTTTTTTTTTGGTCCAACCTCACCCCCACCTTGCCATTTTCACCCACGTGACAAGGACATGTCCTACTACCACAGCCTCCTGGGATATCAACGTCATTGCAGAAGGTGTCCAGTAGGCGGAGCTGGCATGGGGAGCCCAGAAGCAGCAGCAGGATCATGATGACAAAGCTGGACCAAGATGGTGGCGCAGGACGCAGGACGCAGGACCCCCCCCCCCCTTTCTTTATATTGCACTTCTCAGTAGACATGTGCACACCGGAAATGTTCGTTTCAGATGCATCCCTTCATTGAAGAATTTTGCTTTGGCATATTTGTTATGTTTAATCAATTCATTTTCAGAATTCGTTTCGTATCTTCAACATTCATTTTGTATATTCGCTGGTTCTGTTGGATTCGAAAAATTGCCGGTTTTGTTTTTTATATCATTTTATATATCCTGGTAGTTTACCCTGTGTTGCCAGGCTACAGGAGCCACCTTTGTCAGGGCTGGGCTCCTGCTACTTAACGAGCAGCTCTTTTCTTCCAGTGTTCCGAAGCTGCTCAGCTGTCAATTACCAGCCATTCGTTGTCTCCACAGCGACTCACCTGGATACCACTACCTGCCTCATTAGTCCCGCCCACAGACAGCCCTTTTTGTCATTTTAGCAGGTTAGCTCATTTCCTCCCTGTGTGGTCTATGATATCCAGTGTGTACAACTCGGTCTGGCTCTTCCGATTCCTGTTCCTGATTTTTGGCTCCTGACTATGCTGACTTCAAGGTTCCTGACCCTGGCTCGTCTGATAACCTGCTCTGGCATCCAGACCCTGGCTCGTCTGATAACCTGCTCTGGCATCCAGACCCTGGCTCCCTGTCTGATAACTCTGGCATGCTCTGGCATCCAGACCCTGGCTCGTCTGATAACCTGCTCTGGCATCCAGACCCTGGCTCGTCTGATAAACCTGCTCTGGCATCCTCCTGACCCTGGCTCATCTGATAACCTGCTCTGGCATCCAGACCCTGGCTCGTCTGATAACCTGCTCTGGCATCCTGACCCTGGCTCATCTGATAACCTGCTCTGGCATCCAGAACCCCAGCTTCTGTTTTGACTAGATTCCTGATCTAGGGTATATCTGCCATTTCATTAAAGGTGTGATTTTAACGGCACTTTGTCTCCACCCGATTCATGGTTCCTGACAATCCTGGAATTCCATGGCGCCATTTTTTTTTTTTTCTTTTAATTTCCAATGGTTTCTTCTACTCTGATATGTTTACTATATTCTGAAATGGTACTGAAAATACTTAGTCTGACGCCAAGGCCGATGGGGAAACATTTATTTGTGCAACACACAGTACACAGGATGGAAAAGCTGTAATAAACCCTTTACTGAGTCGCACATTATTTTGTAATTGTTTCCATGTTCTTAGTAAACAAGCGGACCAGTGACTTCTCCCCCCTAATCTCTACACTAAAGGGGGTCCTGAATAAGGGGCAATTCAAAAATAGTGGTCCAACAGTATCTAGCAAACCCTCCCCCACCGGCCAGTGCATTGGGGCCAAATCCAGTGTCAAACATGGACCCCATAAACCTGGGTGTAAGAGTCTGAAGGGTCTCCCAAGAGACAACATTGTTCCTTTAAATAGGTTGAAAAACGCTGCCCGACTGCAACCTTTGTACCCCCAGTCACGGCACCCCATAGAATTACGCACAGTCCTGGGGCACAGCAGTCTGAGGGATTGTTCACACCAGGAGGGTCATCTGAGTGTGCGCACTTTTGTGGGCTCCCACGGCGCATTTTTAATGAGCTTCTCTATGCATGCGAAATACGCAGAAAAGGTGCCGGTGTGATTTTTAAAATTGCGCAGCACCAAGACACAGGAAACCACAGTACCGTGCGTTTCAGCAGGCGAAGGTCCGTGCATTGTCTAGATGCGTTGGGGGTGTTACGACTTAATGAAACCCAAGCGTGTCTGCAAATGGGGCCCAGTTTTGGTGCGTCATGGGAAAAACCACGTGTTACTGCACTACACCCGGCATAGGTGCTCCCACAGACCAGACAGAGGAGCTCCCACAGACCCGACAGAGGTGCTCCCACAGACCCGACAGAGGTGCTCCCACAGACCCGACAGAGGTGCTCCCACAGACCCGACAGAGGTGCTCCCACACAGACCCCACAGACCAGACAGTGGTGCTCCCACAGACCAGACAGAGGTGCTCCCACAGACCAGACAGTGGTGCTCCCACAGACCAGACAGTGGTGCTCCCACAGACCAGACAGTGGTGCTCCCACAGACCAGACAGTGGTGCTCCCACAGACCAGACAGAGGAGCTCCCACAGACCAGACAGTGGAGCTCCCACAGACCAGACAGTGGAGCTCCCACAGACCAGACAGTGGAGCTCCCACAGACCAGACAGAGGTGCTCCCACAGACCAGACAGTGGTGCTCCCAGACCAGACAGTGGTGCTCCCACAGACAGACAGTGGTGCTCCCACAGACCAGACAGAGGAGCTCCCACAGACCAGACAGAGGAGCTCCCACAGACCAGACAGAGGTGCTCCCACAGACCAGACAGAGGTGCTAACACAGACCAGACAGAGGAGCTCCCACAGACCAGACAGTGGAGCTCCCACAGACCAGACAGTGGAGCACCCACAGACCAGACAGAGGTGCTAACACAGACCAGACAGAGGTGCTCCCACAGACCTGAAGATGTCAGTGACTCTGACACGACACACAGATAACAGTTTCCTATGCGACATGTTCACACAGAACTCGGTTTCTCTGCATTCCATAACAGTGAGATTTTAATGCAACATGTTTGCATAATAAATACATAGAAATGCATGTGAACGCATCAAACCCGCTGCAGCGTACCTCTCACTCACAACAGGTCAGAGGAAACATGCCTTTGGAAAAGAGAAAAAAAAAAAAAGAAAAGCGCTTCAAGACACCTGTAAACACGCACAACCATGCAAAAAAAAAAAATGCACAGAAACGCATCACAGAGCAGACTGCAGGAGCGCTTTATGTGCATTGTAGTGTGAATGGCTCTTAATGCAGCTAGAAAAGCAGATCTTTTAGCAATGCATGATGGGAGTTGTAGTTCCACAAGACTTGCACAGATGAGAAGGAGGGTGCAGCCTCACCTGACTTGGGATAGGTGACAATCACCACATCGCCCTCCCTGAACTGGAAGTCCTGGGCGTACTGGAGGGACTCCGGGGTGTGCAGATGTCCTGGAAGCGGGATGCCAGCGAAGAGCTCGGTGACAGACATCCTGTCCATGCCAAGGAGGTGCTTTGTGTGCGCAAAGCCGTGTGATGGAGCCTCCAGCAATCAGGAGAGGAGGAAGCTGTGTAGGCTGATGGGAAGTGACCAGGCAGCCGCGGCTTCCTCTTCAGCAGTGCGATCGTCTGTGGAGGAAACAAACAGAGAATGAACAAGAGGCTGCACAGTGCAAAGACAACATCAAGGAGAACCGGCCTGTGTGCCCAGCATGGCCAAGTGTACAGTATGAGGATACACAGAGCAGAGGACTGATCACTGGAATAGGGGGGGGCGCTTCTGAGGTCCGGGGTCCAGGGATCCATCGCTCTCCAGAAATGCTGGTCCCTTTAAATGTCCCCAGAACTGACCATGGATCAGAGGAGAGAAGGCAGAGCGGACCATAGAAGAGGGACAGCAGAAGATGACCAAGAGGTCCACCAAGTCCACATCCTTTAGATTTACTTATGTTTTTAAACATTTTCATAAAAATTATATTTTATTATTTTTTTTTATATATAATTTTACACACAAACACATATATATTATTGTTTTTATTATTATTATTATTATTATTATAATATATATATTTTAGAATTTATATATTTCTAAAAAAAATCTAATACAAGAAATATATATATATATATATATATATATATATATATATATATATATATATATATATCTATCTATATGGTTTTTTTTTAAGTAAACAAAAAAAATTATAATATTATTTATTATATTATGCTTTCAGAGCCATATAAAGAAAAATTCCAGACGCCCCCAACAGCAGCCATTTCTTCAGCCTGAGCCGGTGTGCATGAGCCCTATATTTTCAGGGATTACA